TGAACCGAGATCATGCCATTGCACTCCAGTCTGGGTAACAACAGCAAAACTCCGTCTCCAAAAAAAAAAGTAGATTGAAGTCCCTAAGTGTTTGTATATCCTTGTGAGAGATTAATTAAGGGAGAATTTGGGGCTAAATTAGAGTACACGGGATACTAAGCAAACAGAGAAGACAAAGCAATTATTAATTCCAGGAAAAACACAAATGTTGCAGGAAAGAAAAACAATTTTAACTATTCACATGGATCAGTCGTGTATGGTATAATCATAATAATGCAAACGCGAAACACAGGAGGATGGGAAGTGAAGCTGGGGTGACAGGGAGATTGGAAAAAAGGGGTTTCTCTTTTTTTTTTTTTTTTTTTTGAGCTGGAGCTTCACTCCTGTTGCTCAGGCTGGAATGTAATGGTGCCATCTCAGTTCACCACAACCTCCACCTCCTGGATTCAAGTGATTCTCCTGCCTCAGCCCCCCAAGTAACTGGGATTACAAGGTATGAGCCACCACACCCAGCTAATTTTGTATTTTTAGTAGAGACAGGGTTTCTCCATGTTGGTCACGATGGTCTCGAACTCCTGACCTCAGGTGATCTGCCTGCCTCAGTCTCCCAAAGTGCTGGGATTACAGGCATGAGCCACCACACCTGGCTCTTTTTTCTTTCTTTAACCTCAGTGATCCTTCTTCTGAAGGGCTAGCTTCTCATCTTCAACAGCACAAAGCCAATAGCTAATACCTAAACAGAAAACACTGAGTGCAGTGGTGTGATCATGGCTCACTTCAGCCTCAACCTCTACAAGTAAGGCCAAGCGCAATGGCTATAATCCCAGCCCTTTGGGAAGACAAGGCAAGAGGATCAGTTAAACTCAGGAGTTCATGGTTACAGTGAGCCGTAATTATGCCACTGCACTCCAGTCTGGGCAACAGAAAGAGACCCTCTTTCTAAAAAAAAGAAAGACCCCTTATCCCCTTCCAAAAAAAAAAATTGAAAAAAAAAAATCAAAGAAGTAGTAACATTGGCCAGGTGTGGCGGCTCACAGCTGTAATCCTCTCTCCTTTGGGAGGCCAAAATGGGAGGATTGCTTGAGCTCTGGAGTCTAATACTAGTGTGGGCAACATATTGAAACCTAATAACTAATAAAAAAATTTTTGTGGCCACAAGTGGTGGCTCACGCCTGTAATCCCAGCACTTTGGGAGGCTGAGGCAGGCGGATTATCTGAGGTCAGGAGTTCGAGACCAATCTGGCCAATATGGTGAAACCCTATCTCTACTAAAAAATACAAAAATTAGCTGGGTGAGGTGGCAGGCGCCTGTAATCCCAGCTACTTGGGAGGCTGAGGCAGGAGAACCGCTTGAACCCTAGAAAAGGAGCTATTGGTCTTACAGCCCAGGCTGGAGCGCAGTGGCACAATCTTGGCTCACTGCAACATCCGCCTCCTGGGTTCAAGAGATTCTCCTGCCTCAGCCTCCAAAGTAGCTGGGATTACAGGCATGCACCACCACATCTGGCTAATTTTTGTATTTTTAGTAGAGACAAGCAGGGTTTCACCATGTTAGTCAGGCTGGTTGCAAACTCCTGACTTAGGTGATCTGCCTGTCTTGGCCTCCCAAAATGCTGGTATTACAGGCGTGTGCCACCATGCCTAGCCCAAAATGTTTTTTCTTTTTTTTTTTCCAAGACAGAGTCTTGTTCTGTCACCCAGGCTGGAGTGCCTTTGTGCAATCGCGGCTCACTGCAACCTCCATCTCCCAGACTCAAGCAATTCTCTGCCTTAGCCTCCCGAGTAGCTGGGACTACAGGTGTGTGCCACCATGCCCAGTTAATTTTTTGTATTTTTAGTAAAGCCAGGTTTTCACCATGTTAGCCAGGATGGTCTCGATCTCTTGACCTCATGATCCACCCACCTCAGCCTCCCAAAGTGCTGGGATTACAGGCGTGAGCCACTGCACCTGGTCCCAATTTTTTTTTTTAATTAGCCAGGCTTGGTAGCACCTGCCTGTGATCCCAGATAATTGGGAGGCTGAGGTGGGAGGGTCACTTGAGCCCAGGAGGTTGAGGCTGAAGTGAGCCATGATCACACCACTGTACTTGGCCTGGGCAACAGAGCAAGACTCTGTCACAAAAAAAAAAAAAAAAAATCAAAATTTGCAATGGCCAGTTAGCTCAGTTGATTAGAGTGAGGTGCTAACACCAAGGTTGTGGATTTGATTCCCATGTGGGCAAACATTTTATCATTTATGTCCTTGGACGATCACTTGAGGCCAGGATTTTGAGACCAGCCTGGCCAACACAGAGAAACTCCACCTCTACTAAAAATACAAAAATTGCCAGGCATGGTGGTGCATGCCTGTTATTCCAGCTACTTGGGAGGCTGAGACACGAGAATCGCTTGAACCCAGGAGGCAGAGGCTGTGGTGAGCCCAGATCTCACCACTGTACCTGGGAGATAAAACAGACTCAAAAAAACAAAACGAGGCCAGGTGTGGTGGCTCACACCTATAATCTCAGCACTTTGGGAGGCTGAGGCGGGTGGAATTCCTGAGGTCAGGAGTTCGAGACCAGCCTGGTTAAAGGGGCAAAACCCTATCTCTATAAAAAAAGAAAAAAGGAAAAAAAGAAACAAAAACAAAACTCAATTGTAGGCTGGGTGCGGTGGCTCAGGCCTGTAATCCCAGCACATTGGGAGGCTGAGGTGGGCGGATCACCTGAGGTCAGGAGTTTGAGTCCGGCTTGACCAACATGGTGAAAGTCTGTCTCTGTCACCCAGGCTAGATTGCATTGGCAGGATCTTGGTTCATTGTAGCCTCGACCTCCCAGGTTTAAGCCATCCTCCCACCTCAGCCTCAGCCTCCCCAGTAGCTGGGACTACAGGCACTTGCCACCACGCCCAGCTAATGTTTTTGCATTTTTTGCAGAGTCAAGGTTTTGTCCTGTGGCCCAGGTTAGTCTTAAACTCCTAGATTCAATCGATCCATCCACCTTGGCCTTCCAAAATGCTGGGATTACAGGTGTGAACCACTGTGCCCAACCAATTATTTTTTGTTTGTTTTGAGACAGGGTCTCACCCTGTCACCCAGGCTGGAGTGCAGTGGCGCAAACATGGCTAATTTCAGCCTTGACCTCTAGGGCTCAGGTGATCCTCCCACCTCAGCCTCCTCAGTACTTGGGACTACAGGCATTTACCACCAAGCTGAGCTAATTTTATTTACTTAGTTTCTTAGTTTTTCTTTTTTTTTTTCTCTTTCTTTCTTTCTTTTTTTTTTTGAGACAGAGTCTTGCTCTGTTGCCCAGGCTGTAGTGCAGTGGCTCAATCTTGGCTCACTGGAACCTCCACCTCCTGAATTCAAGCAATTTTCCTGCCTCAGCCTCCAGAGTAGATGGGATTGCAGGCACCTGCCACCATGCCCAGCTAATTTTTGTATTTTTAGTAGAGCTAGGGTTTCACCATGTTGGCCAGGCTCAAACTCCTGACCTCAAGTGATCTGCCTGCCTCCCAAAAAGCTTGGATTACCAGCGTGAGCCACCGTGCCCAGCTGTTTTCTTCTTTCTTTCTTTCTTTCTTTCTTTCTTTCTTTCTTTCTCTTTCTTTCTTCTTTCTTTCTTTTTTTTTTTTGAGACAAAGTCTAGCTCTGTCACCCAGGCTGGAGTGCAGTGGTGCAGTCTTGGCTCACTGCAACCTCCACCTCCTGGGTTCAAGTGATTCTCATGCCTCAACCTCCCAAGTAGCTGAAATTACATGCATGCCATCACACTCAGCTGATTTTTGTGTTTAGTAGAGATGGGGTTTTACCATGTTGGCCAGGCTGGTCTCGAATTCCTGACCTCAAGTGATCTGCCCACCTCCGATACTGCTGGGATTACAGGGGCGAGCCACTGTGCCCAGCCTAATTTTGTAGAGATGTGGTCTTGCCCATGATGTTGCTCAGGCTGGTCCTGAACTCCTGGGCTCAAGTAATCCTCCAGCCTCAACTTCTCAAGGTGTTGAGATTTTCTTTTAATTTTTTTGAGTCAGGGTCTTGCTTTGTCACTCAGACTGGAGTGCAGTGGTGCAATCTTGGCTCACAGCAACCTCCACTTTCTGGGATCAAGCCATTCTCATGCCTCAGCCTCCCGAGTACCTGGGTCTCCAGGAGCATGCCATTTCGTGCTGGTTTTTTTTTTTTTTGTAAAGACGAGATTCTGCTATGTTGGCCAGGCTGGTCTTGAACTCTCCCTCTATCGCACAGGTTGGAGTGCAGTGGTGCGATCTAGGCTCACTGCAACCTCTGCCTCCCAGGTTCAAGTGATTCTCCTGTCTCAGCCTCCCAAGTAGCTGGGATTACAGGTGTCTGCCACCATGCCCAGCTAATTTTTGTATTTTTAGTAGAGATGGGGTTTTGCCATGTTGGCCAGGCTGGTCTCGAACTCCTGACCTCATGATCTGCCTGCCTCGGCCTCCTAAAGTGCTGGGATGGGATTACAAGCATGAACTACTACGCCTGGTCAGGCATGAGCTTTTGTAGGGCACACCAGACTGAAAATAAAGACTGTGGCGCTTTTTTTTTTTTTTGAGACAGAGTCTCGCTCTGTCGCCCAGGCTGGAATGCAGTAGTGTAATCTCGGCTCACCACAACCTCCACCTCCCAGGTTCAAGCGATTCTCCTGCCTCAGCCTCCTGAGTAACTGGGACTACAGGCACTTGCCTCTGCCCAGCTAATTTTTGTATTTTTAGTAGAGATGAGGTTTCACCGTGTCGGCCAGGATGATCTTGATTCCTTGACCTCGTGATCTGCCTGCCTTGACTTCCCAACATGTTGGGATTATAGGCATGAGCCACCATGCCCGGCCATCCCTTGCTCTTCTTTTCCCTATATTCCACAGGGCAGAGCCAAGACTCCAGCCCACTGAGGGCAAAGGTCACCTTGGGCCCACCCGTCCCCCAAGGAGCAAATTCCACTGACCACAACACTCAGGAAGGGTCTTAGAGTGGCTGAGGCTTATCACCTCATCAACAACACGACATCAGGACATGTAATTATTATTTATTTTTCACCCTCAAAAAGGAAGAAAGGTCTCTCCTTCAATTTTGCTATTCCACTACTTGAGGATAGGCACCCCTAACGCTCCTTCCTCCAGGGAGGCCTCAACGTCAGTGTCTGTGGAAATAGTCTCTGAAGAGTGCTTGAGCTGGTGGGGTGGGGAAGGAGAAACTCAAAAGAGACACCCCCTAGGGATGGCGTCATTTTCCTGCCAACTTTCTCATTGCCTCTTCTTCAAAGCGGAAGGAGTGCCAGCCCTCAGCTTCTGTCAGATCTTGGGCTCCTAGGGCCTTATACAAGTCTATGGCCTTCTGGTTCCAGTTCAGGACAGCCAGACGGAACTGGGAGCAGCTCTTATCCAGGGCCACCTGTGGGATCAGACATCACTGACTTTCCTGGGGTCAAAAAAGAAAAGGCTTTCTCACTTCCTCATTCAACCTGGGCCCCCCCACCCCCATATACCTTTGCTTCTTGAGGTCCTCGCTGACCACCCCATCCCTCTCCTCACCTCAGCCACCTTTTTGATTATTTTGGAACCAATCCCTTGACCTGTTGTGGAGAGAAAGAGGCAAAAAAGAGCTATGTTTGAGCTGAAGGGGATCAGAAAAGGACATCCCCTGGGATGCGGGGACAGGGGATGATGGTGGGGTCTGTGGGGTCCTTTGTTCCCACCCCAGCCTCAGCTTCTGCCTAGTACCCCGATATTCTGGCATCACATAGACATCTTCCAGATAAATGGTGCGTCCCTTCCATGTGCTGTAGATGAAGTAGTATAGCCCATAGCCCACCACGCAGGGTCCTGAGAGAAAGAAAAGAGGAGTAAGGCGTCTGGGAGCCGGTGGGGAGAAAGAGAAAAGGCCTCTGGGAGCCTGCGGGGAGACCTCTGAGGCCGACTGCAGAGCCGGACTTGTAAGACCAGCTGCTCTTACCCAGTGACTCCCCGGGCGCTGGAAGAATCTCTGCTACCAAACAGTGATAGAAAGGATTCTCTCCAAAGCCATCTGCTCTCAGGGCTGCCGAGATTGGAGTTATGACAAAGAGACAGAGAAACAGGACCTGGGTGCCCAGCCTGGAGCTGCCGCCTGGGGAACTCATCCCTCACTTCCGCCCCAGCCTCCGCCAGAACCCGGGCGTTGAGCCCCCACCTTCTTCACTGATCTTCACCTGATCCAAGAGTTTTTCGAACTCGGCTAGTTCCTAAGGCGTGGGTACAGAGGCTAGATTAGGGCAGGAGAGCCCCGCTGCTCCCCGAGCAGGGTCCCAAGGCACCCCCCTCCCCCTGCCTCCCGCCTCCTGCGCCTCCCGCTCTGGCCGCGCCACTCTGACCCCCTGATTTCCGGCCCGCAGTCTTCACCCGAATCAGCCTCAGGATATCTCCACAGTCTCCCTCCTTGGCCTCTCGGATCCGCACAGAAGCCATCCCGATCCCCACTGTCTAGGACCAAAGTCCCAGGACCCCGCAAAGGGCAACTAGACCCCTTAAAGGCCTACAAGCTTGGATCCCAAAGAGCCTGAGAGAGCGGGGTGGCGAGGGCTGCAGGGGCGCAGCGGCCTGGGAAATGGAGCTGGGATTCACGCGCGGTCGGGGGGCGGAGAGAGTGGGCCTGCGAGGCTGTCCTCACTGCCGGGCAAAGCCCCGCCCCCTCGAATTCTGCCGCAGCAGGGGGCACACCCATCAGCCAATAAGCTCGGTTAACAGGCGCAGCCCCGCCTCCCGTCCCACCCCCGACAGCTGGGTCTTGTGACTGGGCCCTGGGTGGGGGTCAAGGTTGGAGTGCGGCGGCTTCCTAGCGGTTGTATGGGTGTCCCAACATTAATCGAGACACCCCACAGTTCAAAGGTTCCCTCGCAGTGCTTTTTAAATTGACGAATGGAGGCCGGGCGTGGTGGCTCACGCTTGTAATCCTAGCACTTTGGGAGGCCGAGGCGGGTGGATTACCTGAGCTCAGGAATTCGAGACCAGCCTGAGAACACGGTGAAACCCCGTCTCTACTAAAAAATACAAAAAATTAGCCGGGCATGGCGGCGTGTGCCTATAATCCGAGCTACTCGGGAGGCTGAGACAGGAGAATCGCTTGAAACTGGGAGGTGGAGGTTGCAGCGATCCGAGATCGGGCCACTGCACTCCAGCCTGGGTGACAGAGCGAGACTCCATCTCAAAAAAATAAAAAATACATTGGCTATACAGTGATTATCTGCTTTAGCCTCAGGCCCCCTCACCTGCCCAGACCCTGGGTAAGCCCCAAGACTGGCAGCTCTGAAAGCTGTTTTCTGCAGCTCTTGAGTAGCTTGAAGTGTTACTTCTCTCAGGGGGGATATTTGCATTTATAAGAATGTTTATTTATTTGTGGAGATGGATTTTTTTTTTTTTTTGAGACGGAGTCTTGCTCTGTCATCCAGGCTGGAGTGCAGTGACACGATCCCGACTCACTGCAACGGGATTTCATCATGTTAGTCAGGCGGGTCTGGAACTTCTGACCTCATCTGACCACCTCTGCCTCCCAAAGTGCTGGGATTACAGATGTGAGCTACCTCGACTGGTCTGTCATTTGCATTTTAAAATGGGTCAGGGGCTGGGCATGGTGGTTCATGACTGTAATCCCAGCACTTTGGGAGGCAGAGGCAGGCAGATCATTTGAAGTCAGGAGTTAGAGACCAGCCTGACCAACATGGTGAAACCCTGTCTCTACTAAAAATACAAAAATTACCCAGGCATGGTGGCAGGCGTCTGTAATCCCAGCAACATGGTGAAGTCCCCATCTCTACTAAAAATAAAAAGACAAAAAATTAGGTGGGCATGGTGGTGCCTGCGCCTGTAGTCCCAGCTACTCAGGAGGCTGAGACAGGAGGATGGCTTGAACTCAAGAGGCAAGGGCAGCAGTGAGCTGAGATCATGCCACTGTACTCCAGCCTGGGTGACAGAGCAAGACTCTGTCTAAAATAAAGTTAAAAATGGGTCAGGGAGTGGGTGAGGAACTTCTACTGGTAGATTGTTAGGCCCTGCAATAAATGGATAGGTAGGATCACTGGGAGGCAGGGGTGGGTCCCTTCTTAATATTCACTGAATCATACACACAACAATACCTTCTTGGGAGACAGGTCTCAGAGGCCTGGGAAAAGACTGGGGAGGAGTTCAGACCAGATGCCAGGCACTGTGCCTGCATTATCTCAATGAACACACTCTCATTGTTACCCCATAAATTATTATTTTCCTCATTTTACAGACAAGGTCACTGAAGCTCAAAGATGAAGTGACTTGCCCAAGTTCACCCAGCTAGAAATTTAGGATTCCATGTCTCATTTCTAGCCCTGATACAGGCCCTGATCAGGCCCTAAAGGAGGAAGAGAGGCGGGATGGAGTATCCTCTCCCAGCTCATAAACTTTCTCGGCAGTGGAGGATGGTAATGGAGGGACTCTGTCATTCACCCCATTGATCCCCAGAGTGTTGGCAGCTGTGTCTTGTGACTGGGCCCCCGGGCAGGGGTCAAGGGTCAGTGCCCCTGTTTCCTTTACCCTGCTCCCCCCTCCCCGGGGGCAACCTTTAACCCTCCACCGCCCACATGCAAGTCTGCCTGCCTCTACACATTCTCCCAAGAGTTGTCTGAGCCCCGAGTGGACAGCGGCTGACTATGGAGAGCAGAGGCCCACTGGCCACCTCACGCCTGCTGCTGTTGCTACTACTGCTTGCCACTCACCAGGGATGGGCCCTGAGACCTATTCTCCCCACCCAGGTGCAGGAGCGGGACAGGGGACTCAGCTCATGCCATCTTCCCTTCTCTCCTCCTATGGCCCTGTAGCAGTGCCTCTCCCTCTGGCTGTCTCTGAAAAGTCCTTACTCAGCCTTGTGTATTTTCTCTTTCTGATAGAGAGCCCAGGACTCTCCAGGTGTCCACCTCAGCAATGGCCCAGGACACGAGCCTGTTGCCGTCATGACCTTTGACCTCACCAAGATTACAAAGTATGGGGTTGGCCTAGTCCTTGCCCCAGTCCTCTGGCCCTGCCCTCTCTCTGTCAGCTCTTCTCTTTCCCTGTCTTCCTTTCCTTCTTTATCTGTGAACAACACCTCCCCCAAACCCACACTGGCTCTCAAAGAGCACATGACATACACAGTCTTTCCTTCTGCACCCTTCCAGAACCTCCTCCTCCTTTGAGATTCGAACGTGGGACCCAGAGGGAGTTATTTTTTATGGGGATACCAACCCTAAGGATGACTGGTTTATGCTGGGACTTCGGGATGGCAGGCCTGAGATCCAACTGCACAATCCCTGGGCCCAGCTTACGGTGGGTGCTGGACCACGGCTGGATGATGGGAGATGGCACCAGGTAAGCTACCTTTGGTCCCCAGGGGAGGGATATGTGGAGCTGGTCTGAGGAAATGGAACGAAACCAAGTTATTGGGCATCCCTTTACCACTGTCATCTCATTTAATCCACACGAAACCCCACACAGTAGCTATTCTTGGTCCCATCTTATCTGTTGGGAGTTCTAAGGCTCAGTCAGTAGGTAAGTGATAAGACCTTAGTGAACCAAGGCCAAGGATGCCAGCTGAGTCTTTAAGGCATGTTCTTTCCACTGTAGTACGAGGCTGCCTCCCAGGAAGGTGGCAGAGACAGATCCCAGGGGCCTCTGATTCTGCTTCCCACCTTCCTGCAGGTGGAAGTCAAGATTGATGGGGACTCTGTGCTGCTGAGGGTGGATGGGGAGGAGGTGCTGTGCCTGAGACAGGTCTCTGGGCCCCTGGCCAGCAAAGACCATCCTACCATGAGGATTGCGGTTGGGGGGCTGCTCTTCCCTTCTTCCAACCTTCGGTTGCCGGTAACTACATCACAGGGGTGGAACCCTAGCCAAGTCTTGGTAAAGCATGCTGGGTGGGTGGCCGTGGGAATCAAAGTCCATGCTTTTAGGGAGAGGGGATGGGTTGAGAGCTGCAAGGGGGAGGCCAGATGCTCAGAGGGGAGTAAACTGAGGCGGGGAGGCCGGGACTGGGCTCCTATGACCTGATTTCTACATCCCCATATCTTACCTCCATCACACTCCAGCTCATTCCTGCCCTGGATGGCTGCCTGCGCCAGGATTCCTGGCTGGACAAACAGGCCGAGATCTCAGCATCTGCCCCGACTAACCTCAGAAGCTGTGATGTAGAATCAAATCCTGGGATATTTCTCCCTCCAGGGACTCATGCAGAATTCAATCTCCGAGGTAGATTTCCTTGGAGCCTATTTTCCCCACCTTGGCCAGCTTGGCCTGCCTCTGTCTTCCTCCGCCACTGACCCCTTTCCTCCTTGAAGTCCTAGCTTTGAGGCCTCAGGATAATCATTTCTCCCCACAGACATTCCCCAGCCTCATGCAGAGCCCTGGGCTTTCTCTCTGGACCTGGGACTTGAGCAGGCAGCAGGCTCAGGCCACCTCCTTGTCCTTGGGACACCGGAGAACCCATCTTGGCTCAGTCTCTACCTCCAAGATCAAGTAAAGGGGGAGAATGGGGCACTGCCTGTATTCAGTGGAGCCTGGAGCAATGAGGGAAGAGAGCAGTCCAAAATGTCAATATTAGGAAGACTTCTAGCCTGGGAACATAGAGAGACCCTGGCTCTCCAAAATTGTTTTTTATCAATAATTAGCCAGGCATGGTGGTGCATGCCTGTAATCCCAAAGTGCTGGAGGCCAAGACCAGAGGATCATTTGAGGCCAGGAGTTTGTGACCAACCTGGGCAACATAGCAGAGACTTCTGTCTCAAAAAAAAAAAAAAATTAGCGAGGCATGGTGGCACATGTCTGTTGCCCTACCTACTTAGGAGGCTGAGGCAGGAGGTTCACTGGAGTCCAGGAGTTTGAGGCTGCAGTAAGCTATGACGGTGCCACCGCATTCTGACCTGGGCCACAGTGAGACTCTGTCTTAAAAAGATAAAAATAAAAATAAGGTTTATGGATGGCACTCAGGTGGGTGGTGGGGCCAGGGACATATCTTGAAGCTGCTCACAGCAAGCAAACAGTTGACTTAGACTGCCTATTTACTTGGGGTGAGTGTGGTTTTAAAAAGGGTCAAACCAAAAAAAAAAAAACTGGGCAGAATTTAAGTGGTGAGAATGGCCAGTAGGTGGAGGCATAGCGAAGAGGCAGAATGAAGGCAGCTAGGGGTGAGGCCACGGCAGTAGGCCAGGCTCATTCTTCCATCCGTCCCTCACTACCGTCTCTTTCCCACACACTCTGCAGAAGGTGGTGCTGTCTTCCGGGTCGGGGCCAGGGCTGGATCTGCCCCTGGTCTTAGGACTCCCTCTTCAGCTGAAGCTGAGTATGTCCAGGGTAATCTTGAGCCAAGGGCTGAAGATGGAGGTCCTTGCCCTGCCTTCTTTAGGCCCAGCTCCCCTCCTTAACCTCTGGGACCAGCCTCAAGGGCGTCTCTTCCTGGGGGCTTTACCAGGTAAGAAAGAATGATGTTCAAGTTCATTAGTACACCACTGGAAACAGCTCAAGGGAGGGGGCACATTTTGAGGGGAAGGAAACTCTGGGAGGGAAGAATAGGCCCTCCCTATTCAAGAAGAAGATATGGGGGCAGTGGGAGGTAGTACTTTTGCAAACTCAGGTTGAAGGAGTGGAAAGGTGGGGAGAAGGTTCTGAATGCGATCCACGTTAATGCTCTA